TATACAAGAAGAATAATGAAAGACAAAACGAGAAAAGAATTGTTAATTTTAATAAAGTATCAAAAGATGTAACAATATTCAGAGTTGACCTTGTGCTAACATAAATCGTGATTACAACTCTATGAGCATAAAATAGAAACAATGGCGAATGTGTGGGTGTTATATTGTATTCCGAAACTTTGGACTTCTTTTAAATTTTCGTATCTGAGAGGGAAAAAACACGAGTGTGCTCGGAAGAAACAAAATAAACTATCCGCTTATCTAAATAAAACAACTTTGTGTTGCTTAAAAGATAAGACGCATATTCTCAGTTTACCAACAACCGGAGAAAAGCAATATACTCACGTACGAGTGAGTCGCTACCGAACTAGTTTTCTTGTATACAAACTATAGCGAATCTCACAACACTTCTGTCGATAAGTTTTGAACAAAGTTCTTCGATTAATTTTCTAGAATATAATCACCGGTTAACAGTTTTAAACAATTTTCTACCTGTATAAAAGATGGCCGTAGGTGGAGGAGACGAAACTACTACACAACGTATGTTGCGAATGACTGACATTATCAATGAACCTCTCGAGTTCCTGACCCCTATTAGTGGTTATGCTAAAATGCCACTAGTGTCACTCGAACAAGCGTTAGAACCCTTGGTCTCTATTCTACCAGAAGTGCAAAGTCATGTCTATGTGGCCAAACAAAGATGCAAGAAACCTGCTGATAACTTAACACAAGATGAATCTGCTTCGATCATGCTCTATACAATGTCATGGGAGCCACTAGAAGAATGCTTGTACATAGTTCTCAATCAAACATTACGATCAGCAAATCGACAACAAAAACTAAAACCATGGTATTCTTATTTAAGACTTTTTCTCAATGCATTACTTCGACTTCCACCGCTCAACGAAATTATCTACAGAGGTGTAAAACTAAACATGAGTGATCGATATATAAAGGGTGAAACAGTTGTTTGGTGGGGTTTCTCATCATCTACCAGTCATGTCGAAGTTCTTCAATCAGATCTGTTTTTGGGTAAAACAGGTGCTAGAACCATCTTCACTATAAAATGTGAATCAGCAAGAGACATTCGTAAACACTCTTATTTTCCAGAAGAAAGCGAAGTATTGGTTCTTGCTGCCACACAGTTCGAAGTAATGAGTTATCTCGACCAGGGTGATCTTCGTATAATCCAGCTGAAAAAAACTCGACCACCACATGCACTGCTGCAGTTGCCACCAGTTGTTGGTTCTTTACCACAAAGTCCACCACCACCAGCAGGTAATTAAAATGTGGAGCACGTTTTTGGAGTCGGAGATATAAGGATATGGGAGGAGGACGCGTCCATTGCCAAGCCACGCAGAACAACTGATATGATAGTTGAATAATGTAGAAAATGAGAGTCACAACTTCTTACTTGTTAGTTCTTTGAGCGGATAGCATGAAATTCTGGTATATGATGTTTTTCTTCTTGGAATATGACTAATATATTTGAGGGTGCTGCGAGTGACATACTATGATTAGTGTCCAAGGCATCTCTATTCTCTAATAAAATCATATGTGGTTTTGAAAACAGAACTGGGAGTTAATAATCATTAACATTGATTCTTTCCTTACACTCAGAAATAGCTTCTGATTATTAATCTTCTTAATTTTTACTTTGACTCCTTGTTACAGCTTCAGTTCCCAAAGAAAAAGCAAGCAGCACTACCAATAAAACCACAGCTACACCAACAGCACAGTCGTTGCAAAAGCTGCTACCCAAACCCGTGTATCGCAATGCAGATCTGGAACAAGAAATTGCTAATCAAAAGGGCAAAACTGAATTGAAATTAATCTTCAAAAGCCTAACCGATAAAGACATGGAAATCGTAGCTTACTATGCAATGCAAGAAAACAAAGTGAGTAATGTTCACTCTTTATCGAACAAGTGAGGGACACACAAAATCGAGAGATAACTTTATCGATCAAGAGATGTACTTATAAGAAGATACGTGTTACCAATGTAATAAACAACGTCTCATTCCTTGACTTAGTTTTAGGAATAGGTTCTAAAATCATAGATAGATGAACCCTGAAGACAGAGATGTCCACAATCCTGGAAATGTGCTCGAGAAAATAGGTTGAAAGATATGGATCATGAACCGAAAAACAGCACTCATGTTTTTCGGCCGGCTTTTTCTGAGATTTCGCGTCTCTTTTTTGCCTTTCATCCAAATTTTTGATTCACCGCGCTCGAGATTCCCTAATTTCAAGAGATCATTTCGCACAACTGAAAGGTATTCTACCGATCAAATAGCTGCCAAAAAACATACAACACAAACCTTTCGTCGTCAGCTACCTTTCCCACCGTTGAGCATCAGTTTCCAGCGCTTCACAAAAACAACGTCAAAGAACGATTCATGAAGAATATTTCGTATCACTATCGAGTGAAAACGGAAGCTGGTTTGAGCACTCAACAGTTATGTAATCAGATATTAAAGACCACTACGATCCCCTCCAGCCAGTTAAAATACTCGACAGAATGTTCTCATGCAAAATCAGGCGCGCACTCAAAATCTAAGAGACAGTTAAATTCAGCACATACCTGGAAAAATTGTAATTCCACATTCCTAAACGACACCGTGAGTCCAACGATCTCTGCATCCCTCGCTCCCTCCCTCTTTCACATCTCACCACTTCTATCTTCATGCAGACACTCACCACACTCAACCTCTCGTACAATCAAATCGGCGACGCGGGTGCCCAATACGTGAGTGATGCACTTCGACACAACACCGTGAGTCCAACGATCTCTGCATCCCTCCGTCCTTCTCTCTTTCACATCTCACCACTTCTATCTTCATGCAGACACTCACCANAGATCGAAGATGATCTGAGAAAAAAAAGAGAAAAAGAAGAAAACAAAGAAGAAATGCAATCACAGAGATCATCATGAGAACGGACATGATAATCAAAAGAAAACTAAAACGAAAGGAAAGAAAGAGAAAAAGAAATACATATATATGTATATGTATAGAAATACAAGAAAACAACTATATAGAAGGTAGCGTCATGAAGTAATATCCAATGACGCTAACACCTTCCCTCTCCGCGAGATTGATTGAACGTGCGTTTGCCCCCCTAGTCAAGGAAGCCAACTGAACAAGGCAATCTCGGAAAGAGAAAATGAGACATGGATAGCAAAGAAGAATAGGTGAAACAAAATGAAAAGTATAACAAAACTTTTACAGATATGAAAAGAAACAAAGAAACGAGTATAACAAACATAACCGAAAAGAAAAGTTAATGACCGTGACATTTCCAAAGGTGATAGTGAGCAGCATCGAAAGCATCTGGAGACAGGGTTCGTTCAGCATGTTCTTGTCGAATCAAGTTATGAAATCGAATGGAGACTTGCTGATGACGAAAGTTGGGGATGTTGGCATAGATGATCTGTTGATGGTCCAGGTAATTCCTCACATCGGATAAGCGCCACAGGGGATCGATATTGCGTACGACAACAAAGCACTGTTGACGTAAACGAAGTTTACGATGACGTTTACGATTACGACTAGTGAGCGCTGTACGAGAACGTGTATGTGTACGTGAAAGTGGAAGAGCGACGGTTTCGTGAGTAGAAGAAGGATGTGTTGCGCGAACAGAAGAAGCGAAATAGGTCATAATCGATGACCAAATCATCGAGCAATGACTTGGATGAAGATGAAGGCCATCCCGACTTAAATGTGTAGGTGCAACAAAAAGATCGAGAAGAAGAAAGTTTTGGCTGCAGGCTAGGTCGCGCAAAAGAGAATTATACTCAGTGAGATTTGAGTGTAATGATGAAAGTGTGGGGAAAGCACGCGAAGGTTTATAGCACGGAAATGTGTATATAATACCAATGGCGGCAGGATGTGCGAGATGAGGATAGGTGTGACGTAAGCAGTCAATCAACGATGTGATTTGTTGAATGATGACGGGAGCTCTAGTGGTTCTAATCGAATTAGATCCAATGAGAAATAACACACGAGAAAATGTCGCTATATCGGTGGAAAAGGAAGAAGAAATGAGAAGAGAAGAAGTACACAAAGACGAATTGTACGAATTCAACCACGATAACCCAGAAATGGACTTAGTTGTGATGGAATATTCAGATGTTTCGAATAAAGGAGGAAAAAAACGACCATGGCTATCAGTTAGCAACAAGAACGCAGGGCGTAAGGTGCTATGTGTAGATAAAGATTGAGAATGATGATGATTAGGACTATTGAGAGAAAGATGCTGAATAGGAAGGGCAGGTGAATGAGGGTGATAGTCGGAAAAGCGACGGTCTCGCTCCAAAGACATTGGAGGAAACCCTGATGAATGATGAGCACCGGCGGACGAGAGAGAGAGATGTGAAAATCGATGAGCCAAAGGTAACGGTGAGGAATGATTTTGTAAATAATATGGAGATGACGCAGTGGGAGATTCGGAATAGTACGACGGTTGAGGATGTGCCATAGTTGAAAGAAGACGAATCGGGAGAGGTGATGAATGAAAAGGATAATCTAAATAAGGGGAAAAAAGGAAAGATTAGCTGAATCAATTCCGTAAAGAATGTACGGAAGAATCATTATTCTTTATAATATCATAGGAGCAACATGACCACGGAGTATGATATAGAAAGTAGAGAATATGAATGAATGAGAGAGAGAAAAAAAACTTAGATTTGTGAAATGATCGAAAATATCATTCTACTAGTAATGGGCGGATATCGTTAACATGTACACGAGAAATTATGTCAGTTTCGATATCTTGCACTACGTACGTCGGATGATTCACAGCAGTAATCCGTTTCGGAATGGATGAAAATCGAGGGTCGAGTTTCCCTCGAGCTCCATGAATTCTGGTCAGAACTAAGTCATCAAGAGAATAATGAGGATCACTGCGATTACGATCATAGGCTTGTTTAGTATAATGCTGATGCATAAGAACGTTATACCGAGTAGCTCGATGAAAAATACGTAACGTTTTCTGCAACTGCTGAAAATAGTCATTCGGCTGTGAGAAAGAGAAACTCGTAGGACGAATGCTAATAGGTAAACGAGCAGCGCGACCGTATAATAACTCAAAAGGGGAATATTTAGTCGTTTTGTGAACACCTGTATTATAGGCAAAAACAACTGTTTGTAAATACTCGTCCCAATTATTATCTTGATCATCCTGTAGTTTCG